CTTTCAAACTTACAGAAAAACTGGACGAATAGTACAATAAATACCTAATTAAGTTTCAAATGTTGAAGCACAAATCCCCATTGTGATGGAATTCGGAGGTGCGGCCTTTGGGAGGTAATTCGGTTTAGATGAGGTCAATGAGGTTGGATCCCCCATGATGAGAATAGTGCTCTTATAAGAGAAAGACCAGAGTCCCCTCTTTCTCCACCATGTGGGAATACAGCAATAAGTCGACCTGAAAACCAGGAAGAGGGTCCTCATAGGCACCTTGATCTTGAACTTGCCAGTCTCCAGAACTGTGAGAAATAAATGTTGAATACCACCTAATCTGTGGTATTTTTTTATAGCTGCCTGAGCAGACTAAGACAAATGTTCTATAATCCATTATCACAATTTTTTTCTTTAGTCTCAAATTCTCCCAAATTTGGCACTTGAAGCCAATTTTTGTGTTCCATCAGTCTTTGGGCATTCTCTTCTTTTCTGACTCAAGATGTTCCAAACTCACCTTACACTTTATTTACCTTAAACATGGAATCCACCAACATTTTTGGTTCTGTGGAAAAGTATTTAGAAAGCAAGACCAAGGGAACTAGGTATGCTCATTATTACTAGGTTAGTGCTTCTAGGACTAGAGGATGAAGCCAGATCTGGGAGAGGGGAAGGGAGGGGTAATATTGTGATGGAAGAGGAAAATACATACACCTACACACACATTCACACAAATATCTCCAGTTCAAAACCAGTAAAACAGGGTTCTTTAACTTCTTTCATTTTGTATCTCCCTTCTTCCATAGTGAGTAATCTGATTTACAATAACATCAACAAATATGCTCATTTTTAAACCTACAAAATTATTCCAGGGTTACTTATTTAAATCAGTCTCAGAAACATTTTCATCTTTAAAGTGGAATTTAACATCAGTCACCAAATCATCCCACAGTGTTCTGCCGAAGTCACACATAATAGACTAACAGCAAGCAGAGATAATTAACTATACACAAGTCAAGACTCAAACTGGACAACTAAGCAAGGGCTGCCTTTGGTTTCTCCAGAGAACCAAAAAGGACAGAGTTCAGAACAGATGACTGAAGGCTTCCATTTCCACTTGTCAAAGATTATGTAAGCCATTTTCCTTTTCCAAATCTATCCTGTGTGATGTTTGGCAGTTGTTTCAAAATAATCCAGTAGTGTGGGAGGAAGAGTAAGGAAACAGCCTATCTTTAAAATATTGTCAAAGGAACTTACATTATTTTTGGCAACTTAAGGTTCTAGTGTCTTAAAGACTAAACTGTAATAGCTAGATTACCCTGCAATAAATAAAAGATTTTACCAACTGTGGAATGGAAAAAGAGTGACTTTAATCCTGCCTATCATTTTGTCAAATAACTCTGTCATCACAGAGAGACTGAATAATTAAAATATTCTTATATTTTATATGTTTCCCATTCCCCTTGGGATCAGTGGTTTAAATTCCCCTAATAGTCCAATGTGAAAACCCTCAGGTCACAGCATAATGAGGCATCTGCCACAGCCAGATTTGCTGAGGCAAGGCCTGATTTAATAAAACAAATGGTGTTATAAAAGGGAGCCAAAAACTTGCAAAATCCAATTATGCAAAACACAAAAACAGGAAACATGATCAAGATCTGCAGCAATTTTGGTGTATTTCTGAGGGAAGAACATAAGAAAGCTTTTCTAGGTAAGAGGGAAGTTGAACTTTGAAAACAGACATCACTTTTAAAGCATAAGAATGAATTATAAATGTCTAGAAGACAAACATCGATGTGCATGAGTAGAAACCGCATTTTTATAAATTTGTCATAATCCAAGGTGAGAAATAATCTGCAAAAGAATCTAATCTAGTTGACAGATATCAAGCTATATTACAAAGCCACTGTCCTGAAAACTGCCAGGTACTAGCACAAGAACAGACATATAATATAGACCAATGGAACAGAACGAAGAACCCAGAAATCGACCCAAGCCATTATGCTCAATTAATATTTGACAAAGGAGGCAAGCGCATACAATGGAGTCAAGACAGTCTCTTCAATAAATGGTGTTGGGAAAATTAGACAGATACATGCAAAAAAAATGAAACTAGACCACCAACTTACACCATACACAAAAATAAACTCAAAATGGATACGGACTTAAACATAAGATGGGAAACCATAAAAATCTTAGAGGAATCCACAGGCAGCAAAATATCAGACATATGTTGTAGCAATATCTTTACCGATACAGCTCCTAAGACAATGGGAACTAAGGAGAAAATAAACAAATGGGACTACATCAAAATAAAAAGCTTTTGCACAGCAAAAGAAACCATCAACAAACAACAAGAAAGCCCACTGCATTGGAGAACATATTTGCCAATATTATCTCCAATAGGGTTTAATCTACAAAATTTACAGGGAACTCATACAACTTAACAAAAGGAAGGTAAACAATCCAATAAAAAAATGGGCAAAGGACCTAAATAAACACTTTAAAAGATGACACACAGAAGGCCAAAAGATACATTAAAACATGCTCAAAGTCACTAATCATCTGAGATGCAAATCAAAACAACAATGAGGTGCCATCTCACACCTATCAGAATGGCTATCCTCAACAAATGACAAGTGCTGGGAAGGATGTGGAAAAAAAGGAACCCTCATGCACTGCTGGTGGAAATGCAGACTGGTATAGCCACTGTGGAAGACAGTATGGAGTTTCCTCAGAAAACTAAAAATGGAACTCCCATTTGACCCAGTAATTCCACTTCTAGGAATATATCCCAAGAAACCAGAAACACCAATCAGAAAGGATATATGCACCCTATGTTCACAGCAGCACAATTTACAATAGCCAAGATTTGGAAACAGCCTAAGTACCCATCAGCAGATGAGTGGATTAAGAAACTGTGGTACATCTACCCAAAGGAATACTACACTGCTATAAAAAAGAAGGAATTCTTACCATTCACAACAGCATGGATGGTCCTGGAGAGCATTATGTTAACCAAAACAAGCCAATCAGAGAAAGATAAATATCACATGATCTCACTCATTTGTGGAATATAATGAACAGCATAAACTGATGAACAAAAATAGATCCATAGACAGAGAAGCATCAAACAGACCGTCAAACCTCAGAGGGAAGGCAGGAGAGAGGGTGGGATAAGAGATCAACCAAAGGTCTTGTATGCATGCATATAAGCATAACCAATGGACACAGACACTAGTGGGGTGAGGGCATGTGCTGGGGGGTGGGAGTGGCCGGGGAGAGGTCAATGGGGGGAAAAGGAGACATATGTAATACTTTAACCAATAAAGAATAAGTAAAATAAAAAGAATCTGGTTGAGTTTGGCAATAACCAGTTCACATGAAGAAATCTTCCTTGCACATCTTATCAAGGAAAAATATGTGACATAATGACCAGGATGCTTTGCTAATTCCATGCTCAAGTTACATGATGCAAGAACCTCCACTGTCTGAAGCAGCACTTCTCTTGTAGAAAAATTATCAGTGTACTGGGTGGGATACAGTACTCAGCTGAGATAGTTACAAGTTAGAACTCTAGGAGTAGCATCTTGCTACTTACTGCCCTCATCTTACCACACTGGGACAATCATTCCAGCCTAGGCAAAGGAGACACGTATACCTGGTAACAGGGCAAGCCCAACCTGTGGAAAACAGTATGGATACAATGGGCTGCCCTCTCCAAGGACCAAATTTCTAGGCAAGCTGTCTGCCATTTATTTAAAATAAAATTAAAAAACCCCATATTGTTGGTCCTAGCTTGACATAGAACAGAAGGATGCCAAATTAGGATGAAGGTTAGGCAACCTTTAAAATTCCTACATCAGAGGGGGGTCAATGGAGGCGGGGGAAAGGACATCTGTAACACTTTAAACAATAAAGATAATAAAAATCCTATATAATAAAAGGCTAATATGCAAATCGACCAAATGGTGGAACAACCAGTCGCTATGATGCACACTGACCACCAGGGGGCAGATGCTCAATGCAGGAGCTGCCCCCTGGTGGTCAGTGTGCTCCCACAGGGGGAGCACCATTTAGCCAGAAGCCAGGCTCACTGCTGGTGAGCACAGCAGCTGTGGCAGGAGCCTCTCTTGCCTCCACAGCAGCACTAAGGATGTCCAACTGCTGGCTTAGGCCCACTCCCCTGAGTGCTGCCAGACTGCGAGAGGGTGCAGGCGGGGATAAGGGACCCCCCCACCCCCCGCCCCCAGCCAACTGCATGAATTTCGTGCACTGGGCCTCTAGTTTAATTATAAAAAGATTCCTACATCAAAAACTATACCTTGTAAGCATGTAAAGAAAACAGGCTCTCTGGTTATCTAAGGTTGAAGTGCTGGAGAAGTGCTGGAGTAATTTTACATGTTTTCATGAATGTTTCTTCATTTATTTCAGCCAAGATCTTAAAAACAATAAAACCAAATTGTATCAGAAAGCATCCAAAAATGATCCCTACCTGAGGAAGTCTGCAAGATTCCAAAGTGACTGGGTGTGAGTATAGCTCTGTATGCAGAAACATATCATGTTGCGGGTGGGGCCCCTGGAAGTCGACATCTAGATTTAGGACAAGGCGAGAATCCAACTCTAGGATCTTGAGCTGCATTAAGACATGGTCACCCCTTAGGCTGGAAAATTCAGAGACCAATTCCAGAGATGAAGCTGTTCAAAATGGTCTGAGATGCAGCCTCAACACAGATTTTGTAATTGTAGGAATATCTGGTAGTTGATGGTTGACTCCGATCTCTAAATTCTAACGAGTGTCATTTGGTTAAGCAATTGGACTAAAAAGAAGGATTACAGTAGAGAAGCCAGTGGTTGGTCAGAAATGTAAAGCATCCACATTCTACATTCTTATGCATCACAGATGTGGCCAGCAGTGAACAAACCAGGTTCATCTCTTTTTTTTCAGCCACCTCATCAGCCAATGCTCTGTGAGTCTTGACTTAAGGATTAAAGAGAGATCAAGCAGTGGCAAGGGTTTTAGAATTAGTTTTCTTCTAATGCCAGTTTTATTATAACATGGATACAATGAGCTAATCCACCCATGGAAAGTCATAAAAAATGGTAAATATCTATAACATCTATTACAGCTACAAATTTTTACATGAATTTATCATTGAAATATATGTTCCTTAAAGAAATGACTTACATAACTATAGTATTTAAAAATATACTATGGAAAACAGTATCATTAAGATTGATAAGCAATCAATTCTGTCCATGGCCTACCCTGGCTACTCTTAGCCCTCAGCAGATGAACAATAAATGTATGTGACAAACTCCAAGATATCATTTCCCTTGCTCATGTGAATAAAATTACATCACTGTGTTATACATCCTGACACCAACCTTTAATTTATAGAGAATTAGAGTGTCTATGTGTTGAAAAAAAGGTGCAACTCTGAGTGTTACAGGAAGATACAAGCAGAAGGCTTCAGTTCAGAGGCCTTTATCTAATATTTATGAATCACATAGAGATACTTGGGGATATCATTTTTGGTCACAGAACTTTATTTTAAAACCAATTTTAAGTACCCAAGGATTAAAGTTCAAGAAACAAAAATAAGAGAACACAAACAGCTATAGTTGTCTATGTGCTGCTAATTCTAACTGCCAAAGAGGAATTCCACCATATGTCAAAGGAGTCTCTGGACTAGAGACAGGGCAAAGGGCCTTGCTGTTTATTGCTGGCTGTTGTGGAGGAACCCATCTGTGGCTTTCCCATTTAATGGGCCTCTCATCTTAACTATTAAAACATCCCTTTTCCTAGAGGAAAAGACTAATAATAAATACTTAAGTATAGTTATCTAATATACTCTCCTATCATCCCAGAAAGTCTTAGTAAATATAAAAGTGAACTACTTACTGCACTAATTAGTACCTGTCAGTGGTGACTTCATAATGATTTGTTGAATGATGAATACCTTAAACTCTACCTCCATAATCACTCTACCATCTAAGAAACTTATGACATTAAGCCCCACTGCTGAGTAATTTAACTCAAAACAGGGCCAGCAGGAGAGCTAACCCATAAGATTTATGACATAAGCACTCAGGCACCCTAAAGTCTTTATCTGGGCCAACATAAGTTACCTAGTTACCGATACAAACGTTACCCCACAGCCTAGCTCTGGAAAAATCAGGAAAAGGGAGAGAGAGGAGAGGGAGAGATCAGCACCTATAACACACTGCATGCCACTCCTTTTTGTAGCTATTCCTAGCCAACACTTGGGAAAAACTTTATTTTGCAGCTTTTTTCACTTTTCCTTGATCATCTACTTTCTTAATGGCTGCTTGGATAGCCTCTTGGTCACCCAGGAACTGGTGAGGCCCAACAGCATGCAGGTTCTCATCCAGTTCCAGGAGAATGGGGACGCCAGTGGGAAGAGTAATGTTGATAATGTCTTCATCTGAGATACCTGCAGATTAAGAGAGGAAGGAACAAGGCATTAAAGGCAACCCTGGAGGTGGTTCTGTTTAAATCTAGTTCAATAGATTAGAAAGTGGTTGGTTTTCCAACACTGAGTGAACCTGGAATGCTCGGGCTAAATCCAGTTAAGAGGAACACTTTCTAGCTACTTGGGAAGCCCAATGAGGAGGAATCAGGAGAGGATTCTAAGTCATGCCTTGTAAATCGGCCTCATTCTCCAACTGTCCCTTATCATCCCAACTGATAGGAGAGGAAGGTATGTGTGATGGACAAATTACCTTCAATTAGTTTTTACATAAGCTAAATTACATGTACTTCAACTTTGACCAGAAGAGTTGGAGTTGGATTAAGACTACAGTAGTAGCAGTGGTAGTGATAGTATTTTTATTATTATGACTACTTTTAACAAAAACAGCTAACATGTACGAGGTACATTCTACATGCCAAGTACTCTTCTAAACATTTTACATGCATTAACTCATTTAACCATTGCTGCAATCCTATGAGGTTACAAGTTATTATTTTTCCATGTAACAAGTTTTGGCACAGAGAGGTTAAGCAAACAACTGACGATCACTCAGACATAAGTAGCAGAGCCTGATTCAAACCCAGGCGACTGTAACTACTGTACCAAGTAATGCCTTCAAGTTTTTCTGAGTTCAAAATGGGCAAAGAGAAGGAAGGAGAAAAGAGACAGAGTTAAGCAAATTAAAAGATAACTGAAACTACTCAAATTATCTATTTTAAAAACATACTTTTGTTACATAGACTTCTACATTTTAACCAAATGTTTCTGTTCTATATTAATAGAAAGTACTGAGGTGGAGCAAGTTCCGAGGAAGAGTGTGAAGGGTTGTCTTTACTTGGGAGGTGATGATGGCAGAAAAAAGTTATTATCAGTTAGTTCTCAATGTAGTTTGTCATTTTAATTAACCAATGGTCGTAGCAATAGCACCAGCCAAAAGTCACAGAACCATCGCACTGGATCTCAACCACTAGGGTTGTTCTTTATTAGCATTTCATTCTAGGCCCAGAAGAGCTACCTAAGAACTCTAATACACAAACTGTACATACTCAAACAGCTATGAAACCATGGACAGTACACTAGTATATTGCCCATCTCCTCTTCTGCCAGTCCCGCTCAATATACTAAACTCTTTAACTTTAGGCAAGTGATTTTCTGGGCCTCCACATTCCCTCTGTCAAGTTAAAAAAGGAATACACACTCTTCCTTTGCCATTACCAAGGATGTGGGGTAGTAGAAATGGAATTAGGAACATGAAAAAGTGTAGCACAGTGTTTCTTCATCCCTATTAGGAATTCTCTTCTAGGTGGAAGATTTAAAGGGTAGACTACTAAAACACTCCTTTTGCCAAGTCCCTGTCCCCACACTGTATATAACCCTACAAAAGATTACTATCCCAAACTAAAGCTGCAAGGAACAAATCAGTTCAGACCAGACAGCCAGCTGCATAGTGGGAGGATTCTGAGAGCCCTCTAGTTCCGTCAGGTCAGACCTGTCAGCTGGATGCACAACAGCTGCTACAGGCATCCCCTGGGGACAGCAGAGCAGAATTCACCAGCACGAGGTTTAGAGCCAGGTGACCACTGAGGCTTTAGAAGCCAGAAGTTCTCACCCCAATCCTCTGAAGGTCCCTAGGCCTAACTCACTCAACAGCCAGTAACTGAGGGCCTACTATACCAGTATATATGCATAGTACTTGTGACCATGCCCAGGATTTGACCTCTAGTGAACTATTTCTTCATTTATAAAAGGAGGGAGGATAGCTTCTTCTAGCACCAAAGTTCCTCTATTTTATTCTGAATGGTTAAGAAAAGCAAAGGCACTTTAGAAGGAGGCATGAGAAACATTGGGACACTGACTAGTGTTTACATTCATCTATCACGCAAGGACCATGTTTTATCTGTACCCAGAGTATGTAAGCATATTTCTCATTGAATTGGAGAGAAGGATGGATTTTAAAGATTTCTTCAATTAATCTAAATTTTCACTGCAAAAAAATTTGTTAGGAGACAACAGTTTAGTAAAAATGATCCTGTTTGACTAATGTTTTCTGGGAGAAATAGAAATTATGAGCATACACATCTATCAGCACCTCAGATTCACTGCTTATAGATTGTGGGCCTTGACAACATTATCGACCATTAACCTTTACAAGTCATTTTTGGATCTAGGACTTTATTTTAAAACTAGAGGCCTGGTGCACGACATTTGTGCACTGGTGGGGGGGGGTGTCCCTCAGCCTGGCCTGCGCCCTTTCGCAGTCTGGGAGCCCTCGGAGGATGTCCGACTGATGGCTTAGGCCCACAGCTGGACAGCCTTAGCACTGCCGCGGAGTTGGGCCACTGCGCTTGCCAGCCATCAGCCCGGCTTGTGGCTGAGTGGTGCTCCTCCTGTGGGAATGCACACACTGACTACCAGGGGGCATCTCCTGTGATCAGTGCGCATCATAGCGACCAGTCATTCTGCTGCTCCGTCAATTTGCATATTACCCTTTTATTATATAGGATTATTATATAGGATGACTAAGCTCCCACTTTTATTCAACATTGTACTGGAGGTTTTAGCCAGGGCAACTACACAAGAAAAGGAAATAAAAGGCATCCAGATTGAAAAGAAAGAGATAAACTATCTCTATTTTCAGATGACACAATCCCACTAAAAAATAACTGAATCAATAAATGAGTTCAGCATGTTGGAAGAAATAAGATGAATATATAAAAATTATATTTCTATACAGTAGTGATGAGCAAATAAAAAATGAAATTAAAACAATTCCATTTACAATAGAAACAAAACAAATAACATACATAGGAATAAATTTAACCAAAGAAGTACAAAACTTTTACTCTGAACACTATAAAACATTGTTTTCCCCAAATTAACATACAGATTCAACAAAATCCCTATCAAAATTTCAGCTGACTTTTTTTTTTGCAGAAATTGACAAAACTTCATGACCTTGAATTAGGCAATGGTTTCTTACATATGACACTAAAAACATAATAATAAAAAAAAAACTAGATAAGCTGGGCATATAAAAATTGTGTTTGTGCTTCAAGCACACCATCAAAAAAGTGAAAAGATAATTCAGAATGGAAGAAAATCTTTGCAACTCATTTATCTGATGAGACTTATATCTAGAACTATTATTATATAGGATTAATATATAGGATGACTTATATACAGAACTATTACACTTCAATAATAAAGAGACAAACGGTCAAATTAAAAAAATGGGCAAAAGATCTAAACAGACATATCTCTAAAAAAGATATACAAATGGCTAGTAGGCACATGAAAACATGTTCAACATGATTAGCCATCAGGAAAATGCAAATTAACACCACAATGAGATACCACTTCATATCCGCTATAATTTAAAAAATGTCAGATTACAAATAAGTGCTGGTGAGGATATAGAAAACTGGAATCCTAGTACACTGTAAAATTAAGCGTATAAAATGGACACTTTGGAAACAGTCTGGCAATTCCTCAAACAGTTAAGCATAGCGTTACCATGTGACCTAGCAATTTCACTCTTAGGTATATACCCAAGAGAAATGAAAACAGGTCCACACAAAAACTTGTACAGGAAGCTTCACAGCAGCATTATTCATGGCAGCCAAAAAGTGGAAACAGCTTAAGTGTCCATCAACTGATGCATGGATAAAACAAGTGTAATATATCCATACAGTGGAATATTATTTGGTAATAAAAAGGAACAACGCGCTAATAAGTGCTAAATACTGAGGAACCTTGAAATGTTATGCTAAGTGAAAGAAGTCACAAAAGACTACATATTGTATGATTCTATTTATGTGAAATGTCCAGATTAGGCAAATTTATAAATAGATTAGTGGATGCCTAGGACTAGAGGGAATGAGGGGACTGGTAAGTGACAACTAGGTGTAGGGTTTCTTTGGAGGGCAATGAAAATGTTCTAAAATCAACTGTGGTGATAGACGGACAACTCTGTGAATATACGGAAAGCCAATGAACTATATACTTTACACGAGTGAATTGTATAATACATGAATTATATCTCAATAATGCGTTAAAAATACTAAACAAATCCAGAGAAGTTATATAAAACTGCTCAAGTCGCAAAACTGTTATGGTAGTACAACTGAACCTGGTGGTGTGTGTTTTTTTTAATTCCCAAATCCCAGAACTTCGATTCTGGTCATCTGACTCATCTATGGATATTTCCACCACAGCATGAGGAGAGAGGAGAATATTTGTGTGCATGTGCTGCCCTTGTGAAAGGCTGGGTGCTAACGATGCAGAGAGCAGAGCAAAGCGGACTTTTTGGACACCTCTGTCAATCCACTATGGAGTCACAGACAGCCATGACAGTTATATCAAGTACTATGTCAAGACTGAGGTACGAGGGTGTAATGGGGTTTGTTCTCCTAATAAACCTGGCATTGTGGAAGGACTCCTTCCGGGGATGCTCCCTTACTCCAGCGTTCTCATACTTTCAATACTAGGAAAGTATGTGAACACATTTGTCCGGTCCTCTTGAAATAGCTCACACACTGCCATCATGATGAGGTTTGGGGGTTACAGTCTGTGACCTTAGAAAAGGGTCCTTGTTTAACAGTGGCCTCAGATCTAACCAGATCTAGCAGGTCCTCTCTTTAATAGCACCACTCTCAAGCTCATGCCTACAGCTTAGGTGTGTGGGATCAAATCAAAGAAACAACTAAACAAAGGCCATGAGAACTATAATTTTTCATCTACAAAGGAAGGAGAGCTCAACAAAAAAAGGAATGTTTCCAATAAAAAAAAGTTGACATTCCACTTTAATCACTACTCAAGCCATTCACACAGCAGACTAATTACTTGCAAATACTTAAAATACTTAGACTAGTTAATAAGCAGTCAATGAGACAAATTTTGAATAGCAAATTAGGAAAAACCACAGTGAAGCCATTACTCATTGCTCAATTTTGGCATAAGTC